TTTTTTACTAGTGACTTCTTAATTTTCGTGTAATATATATTTTTTTATTTTTATTTTTTAATAGATGTGAATCTCACATAAAATATGTCTATAGCATAAAAAAATTTTCTCCTACTACATGAGAAAATCGAAACCCATAAACCTCACTAATTATTGACCTGTTCCTTAAAGGCATAAATATTATAAAAAAGAAAACCACGTATAGAGTCAGTCCCAGATTTGGTAATACAGCTACCCCTTTCTTTAAAGCATCATTGCGGCGTCTCAATATGGCCACCAAAACCCACTTTTTTCTTTATGGTCTTTATCACTTACAGCCCCAAATTATTGAGCACTTATTAATTAAGTAGGGAAAAAAAACTCTGTTATGACCGGAATGATCTTTGTTAAGAGATAACTCCCATGTAGATTAAATATAATTGCTATAAAAGAACCTAACTCTGGGAGGTGGGTATAATGATTGAAGAAGTGAGTTTGTAATCTTGTTTAGCTTCAAATTTCAAACTCGTTATAAGAGAATTAATTTCTTCAAATGCACATATCAAAATGGTACATCCCTACAATCGTCAGGACAGACACTATATTCTTGATTTATGGAAAAGTTAGCTCGCACAATTTATAATACTAATAATAATAATAATAATAAATATAAATAACCTAATTAAATTATGCTTGTTGATTAGAACTAATTTTTTCTTGTTTTTAAACATGATATTACACTAGTTTACTGAAGGTGAGTCTGGAGGCATGATAAAAATATTTGTGATTGAAAAATAAATAAATTTGTGATTGAAAAGTTACATATTCGAATTTAGAAAATAATTTCTTTACAAATATATAAGGATAAAATTACTTATAAGAATTTTTCTTACTTCTTTACTAATTGAGATTTAATAAAGAGTGATTTGATATTATACTAATTTTTTGACGACGAGTCTGGCTATGGTAGAAATGTTTCTATATGACTGAAAGTTAATATGTTCAAAATTGAAAAATAATTTATAATGCTGCTTATAAGGGTGACTTTCGCCCCTTCCCTCTATAGTCCAAAGTGATTTGATTTTATACTAGTTTTTTAATTATCAACATTTTAAATTTGTATAAATTTTTTAACTAATGTCATATTAAAGACTAATTTTTCAACAAAAATATTATCCTTAACGTATATTTAAATAAATAAAATACAAATATTATATCACCTATATTATTTGGAATTTTTTTATCTTTCTAAAATATTTTTAATAAATCCTTTTAATGCTTAATAAAAATATTAAATGAAAAATAAATATGTTTTATATTTTTAGAAATACATAAACCATATAATAGTTTTTCATAATTAAGAAAATCACGAGTTTTGAGTTTGAGATACTCTTCCTGAAAAACAAAAAACCATATGAGAGATTAATTAGAAACATAAAAAATAGATCTATGTAATGATTCACCGGTAGAATTGAAGGTTATAGATAAGTGTACCTCTCCCTGTCTCGCAGAGTTGGCAGCTTTGTAAATGCCCTACCAAAAGGTTGGTGCAGGTGCAAATAACCACAATCTGTCAACACAACACCCCACGCATTACCCGAATGAATATCCTCTCATATTCAAATTTTTTATTAATAGAACTCTCAAATTCAAATTTTATTAACAAAGTTACGTAAAAATTTTATATTAATTTTTCTAATATTAAATTTTACTATTCAAATATTAAATAATTAGTAAAATTTTATCAAAATTTATAAATATTTATAAAAATAAACACAGTTTTTACATAACAAAATCATATAAAATTTTAACTTGGAAATTATATTCGTTGACTTATGTTTGAAGTAGAAAAATTTTGATGAGAAAGAGAATTATTATGAACTGTGGGAGGCAAAGAAACATAGAAAAATCCACATGATTCAAAAGACGATATGAAATTTGTATTTGTGTCGATTAAAAAGTGATTTGAAAAAAATTGTATCCTGTTCGTGTCGGCCCTTAATTGATCTGTTTAAATTAAAAAATTTATATAATTATATATTTAACCCATTAACTCTATTTTTATATATTAATGTGAGATTATTTAAGTAATTTTCATTCAAAAAGTAAAAATGACAAACTATTTATATTGTGTAATTAAGGATGTCTATTGGTTGAACCGAACCGGATTTTTTAAAAAACCGAACCGAATTAGTTTAGATGGTTAGGTTCGAAAGTGGTTCAGTTCAATTCAAAACTGGTTCGGTTTGAAAGTGGTTCGGTTCAGTTGAAAACGGTTCGGTTCGAAACCGATTCGGGTCGATCCTCTTTTGAAAAGAAAAAAAATTTAAAATTTAAAAATAAAGTTATAAAAATCAATTTGGTTCGATTTTAAAACAATTGGGTTCGGCTCGGAAACGGTTCGATTCAGTTTAAAATGGTTCGGTTCTTACACTGATTTTAAAAACCGGTTCGGTTCATGAACTTGATTTTTAAATTTTTTTATAAATCAGTTATTTTAAGGACAGTTCAATTCGATTCGATTCATGATTTTGATTCAGTTTTTTGATTATTTTACGCACACCGTGTAATGTCAACCTTTGTAATGAAAGAATTGTGTTAGTGTTGAGAGTTTTAATATAAATAATTATTTATGTGATGCTCGTGTTAATAGTGTTTATGTTCACGTCGAATTCATATCGATCAAAACACAGCCTGCCAGTGCCAACTCCGATTCTCATCTTATCTCTATGAATAATAACATTTTATAAAATAGTAAATAAATAAATTAATAATACGTTCTACTATCATTTCATAAAAACTCCAAGTTTGGTAGAAAATTATACTCGTTTATAAACATATCATTGGTTCAGGATTTAAACAATTATTTATATTAAAACTCTCAACACTAATATATACATTGTGAAAAGTTGTGCTTAAATATGTCTGAAGATATAACCGATCTTATCACAAAGTTCACGTAATAATCGATGACTTGCCGTTTCATGTAATTATTATTTGTTTCTCTCTCTCTCTTTTTTTTTTATAAACTTCTTTTCTTTTTTCAACTTAAACCCTCTCCAAACAACCCCACAACAACAACAACCAAAAAATACATGAAATCGGATCCATTTCATCTATGTAGTCTGCCCATACACTATTATATATGAGGTTTCATATATTTACGATTCTTCGGAAACTATAAGCGTTTTTCATCACTAATTTCCTCTTAATGATTTAAATTAGTTTTTTTAAAACAAATTAAAAGCTGAATTCCCTATAGATTGATTAATTGTTGTTATTTATGCATTTAGATTTTTGCTTTAGCTATTACTTTCAAATTTATTGATTATTTTTTATGTTCTTTTAGTCATTACCATCCATTCAATTCGAGTTTTTATTCGTGATGTAGTGCGTCAAAGCTGAGATACAATGTTGTCTAATATTATTAAATGCCACCTAAGATATCAGAACATTAACATAACATGTCATTCTCATTTTAGCATATATACGGATTTTTATACATTGCAGATTTTTTTTTTCAGTTAATGAGTATATAAAAAAAAAAAATTAGAGAAGGTTTGGTCATGAATTGATGTATCATTATGGAACCGTAAAAATAATTCAATTAAACTTGTACTCTACGGTTTTATATATAAAGTTCATTTTTTCTCTGATCAATATAGATAAATTATTTATATTAAATTTAAAATAATATTATTTGAGATGAAAATTAAGGTATTTTTATAATTATAATTTATTTCAAAATTATAAAAAAATTATTATAATATTTTAATTTTTCAACTTAAAATAAAATCATTTTAAAAATAAACATAAATAATTTATTTATTTGTTATAAAAACATTAAAACTTTTATATATGATCTTGAAATGACGAGAAGCATTTGTGAAAGGGAAAAATGTGTATAATTTTAAAAAATATAAATTTATGTCATTTTAAGTGAGAGAAAGAGATAGATAAAAAAAAAAGAGTGTGAACAAAAAAAATATAAAAGTACAGATTTCACCTCTTTATAAGAGTGAAATGATATAAATTGTATCATTTAATTTAAAAGTAGAAAGACTATTTTTTTTATGAAAAGTGTAGAATGATAGAAAAAAATAGATAGTGCATCAAAAAGTAAAATGACGTAAGTACACAAGACTGCCTCACACAGTCGAGCATGACGGGACTTTCCCCTCACTTTCTTTTATCCCTACTAAGTATCCATGCAGGTTCAGTTTCTTTTGAAGTGTTCATGGAATCTTTCCTAGCTTTTATGGAAATTTGAACTCGTATAATCATTTCTAAATTTGTGGTTACTTATAACTTCGAGATTACTAATTATTTCCACCTAACGATTATAAGGGAGGGTTCTCCTTTCTATTATTTAATTATAAGAAAAATATTCATTATTTTAAAAGATACAATTTATATCATTTTATATGATCATCCTATTTTAATATATATTTATTAATCTTTTACATTTTATTTTATTTCATTTACCAAATTAAAAGGAAAAAAGAGAATATAAAATCTCATCAATATATATTAAAATACAATAATTTTATCTAAAATCCCATAAAATTATTTTTTAATGACAAATACTTTTTGCATTAATTAGACAACTATCCATTTCAAAAAAACATTTATACAAAATTTATTACGAAGATTTCGTAATAATTATAGAGTGAGAATATTCTAACAATTAAAAATTCTTACTACCAACTTACTACCCATCACATTACCATTGGATTAAATAGAGAGTGTTGAAAAGTTTTTGAAGAGAGAAAAAATGTTAATATAATAGTAATTAGATAGGTAGTAGGTTAGTAGTAAAAAATTTTGGTAACGAGAATATCTCTCCTCGTAATTATATTTGAAAAAAATTTAAGACTAAATAAAAACTAACATAAAGAACAAACTGTGTTTTATTTTTTTAATGATATTCTTAAAGCTGGCACATTTTTTATTTTATTAATTTTTCTTAATTCTAAAAACTTTTTATTCTGTTCTTTCTAAGTTTCAACGCACGTTGATACGGCCACTTTATCCACCTCAGAGAAAATAGAAAAGAAAAAGAAAACCGAATCCCTGTGATCACCGCATTTCCCAATTCCAATTCCAATTCCTTCTTCTTCTTCTTCTTCTTCCCTTTCATCTCGATCTCGATCTCTCCGTCTGAATCCATCTTCACACCAAAACGCACTTTCTCGAATATTCACAACCTCGATCCCCTCTGTATATTCGTCTTCTCTGCTTCAATTGGTCCGAGATGAGCACTGGGGAACTCCTCAGCATCGAACCTCTCGAACTCAAGTTCCCTTGTGAGTTTCGCTTTTCTTTTTCCCTGGATCTGTTTGTCTTCCTTCTAGGGTTTGAATTTCACGTGTTTGATTTCGTTTTTTTTCTCTCTCTCTCTCGTTCATTGTGTTAGTTGAGCTGAAGAAGCAGATCTCGTGTTCTCTTCAATTGTTAAATAAGACCGATAGCTATGTGGTTTTCAAGGTAACATCAATTTTGTTTCAGTCTTTGCTTCCGATTTTTCGTTTTTTCTCCCCCTTTGTTTTTCGTTAATTTGGAGTATGATTCGATTGTGAATTATGGTTTTGCTTCTCTTATAATATCTGATAATCTGAACGTAATTTTAGTGTTCTCTTGAAGTTAAAGTGATTTCCCTTGTCAGTTTTTGCGCAATGTTGGATAGGAACAAACGATTTTTCTTACTTTTTGCAGCTTTTTGTGCGATGAAATGCAAAATTTGCATGTTTATGTTTGTATTTTGATTTTGTTCAGGTGAAAACAACCAATCCCAAGAAGTATTGTGTTCGTCCAAACACTGGAATTGTCTTGCCACGATCTACATGTGATGTTATGGGTACCGATAAGATTATTCTGAATGCATATTACTACCTTTTTTTTTTTCTTATTTATGTTTTATGGTCAATCAATGGATTGGTGACGTTTGGGCCCTTTTTTTTTTGAAGTTACCATGCAAGCGCAAAAAGAAGCTCCACCTGATATGCAATGCAAGGATAAGTTTCTCCTTCAGAGCGTAAAAACTAATGATGGTGCCAGCCCGAAGGATATCACTGCTGAAATGGTATAATACATCATGCTACTTGCTTTTCCATTTTCATTTGATTTCTTTTTTTTCTATTTTTGTTTGTTTGTGAAATTACAAGATTTGTGTCATTGGTATTGTCTAGTTCAACAAGGAGGCAGGGCATGTGGTTGAGGAGTGCAAATTGAGAGTGGTGTATGTTTCTCCAGCTCAACCACCATCTCCAGTCCCAGAAGGTTCTGAAGAAGGCTCATCACCTAGAGGTTCTGTTTCCGAAAATGGAAATGCCAATGGTTCTGACTTCACGCAAGTGGGTTCTTAACTTGTCCTGTTTTTGGGTTAACCTTCATTTCCCCCTATAAAATTCCTAGGATATCATTTGAGATGCCTTTTCTTTTTTGGGTATTTCAGGTAACAAGAGGATTTACTGAACGACCTGAGGCTCAAGAAAAGTCTTCAGAGGTAAAGTAAAATGACTTTTTGTAGTCTATTTGTTGTTTGTTAAATTTGTGGTTAGCTGCTTTACTAATTGACTGCTGTTTAAATCTAGTTTAGAATATACACATTTATTTTTTCAGGAAAGAGTATAAAATATAATTGAATTTTCTTGTTCACTATTTTAAAGATATTATCACTTGGTAAATTGCATTGATTTGTAACTATTTTTGACTGGGTGTTGTTTTCTTTTTCGTCCAACTAATTTTGTGGTAATTTATAAAGGCTGTAACATTTAGAATTGGTGCTGTGTGACAACATTAATTTGATTATAGTTGCTCTGTTGCAGGCAAGAGCTCTTATCTCAAGGTTGACTGAAGAAAAGAATAATGCAATTCAACAAAACACCAAGCTACGTCAGGAACTGGTGAGGATTTACAAAATATATGCCATCATTGTCATAGATAAATTTATTTAAGTATTATCTGATCTATATTTATTTTCCTTTTGTGGTGGAGGATTTTAAACTAAATCTGGAGTCTGAGCTCCCTCCACTAGGATGAGAATGTTTATGTTACTGTTATTGTAGCAGTAATTTTTAAAACTAAATATCATCAGATGCTCTTTCCTACTATTTAATTTTATTTGAAAACCCTCGTTGAACTAAAGAGCAACTAAAAACAAATAATGTTATGTGATAGATGAGGTAAGAAAAGGAGATATGTCTTGTCAAGGCAACTTCAGGAGGGGGACTTTAATTAGATAAATTTTTATGCTCTTCTTTTCTTTCTAATATTTTTTAGGGTCTTGAATCAGTCATATTCTTTTCATGGCATTGGATAGTGTTTGTGAGTTTCAATTATTTGGTACTAGGAAAACTGATGAACATAGAATTTTCTGCACCAGTATGTCAGTTTAATTTTAGGAACATTTTGGCTGGACATGATCCATTTGTGCTTCATGTTGTTTCATATTAATTCCTTAACTTCAAATATTTTACCTTAAATTGTGTTCAATTTTTGCTTTGTTCTCCTCTTCAATGACCTGTTAGGAATGTAACTCTTCCTGTCAATTGCTTTCCTATCAGTTTATGTTGAAACAACATAGTCTTCCAGGATTTTAGTCTGAATCGTGACGAAATTTTCTTGATAGAAAAGTGTATGAAGACCAAATAACTGGGTCTGATCTCTTTAGTATTAGTGCAAGTTCCTTTTTATGTGCTGCTACTATTCAATGGAGGGGAAATGGAAATTGACATGTGCAATATGTTTTCTATTGGGAGAGGGGTGATTTTGAGGGCTGGATTGTTATGTTACCCTAACGTGCACTTTAATTTCTGCTGCATATATCAACCGATTCTTTCAATCTAAGCTTTGGACGTAAGGAAGCACTTAATTCGATGATTTTACTACTTGTAGGAGTTGCTGAAGCGAGAAGGCAACAAAAATCGTGGTGGAGTTTCATTTATCTTTGTCATATTAATTGGCTTACTGGGCATTATTATGGGGTATCTCATGAAGAAGACCTGAGCATTTCAGCAATTCGATCTTGCTCCATAGTTTTTATCTTAGTTTTCTTCTTGTTCCTGACTATTCAAGCAATTATGACGAAAGTTAAAATAGATCAATTCAGCAAATGTTGGTTTTTCCTTTTACTTGTTTATTTTTGGGTGGATAACATTTTGGCAGTAGAAAACATTAGATGAAGTTGTGGGTCTGTGGTTGCTCTTACTGTGAACTGACTCATGCTTTCAGTAACATGCATTCTTTTTGTAAGTTAAGAGGGGAAGTTTGTTGTTTCTTCTTTCGTGGTTCATTCAGTGACTATCTCGTAATGTCAAGTTGTCAACAATGACCGTTAATAAACATAAATCTTGAGGGACTCTTTCATCTTCATGTCAAGAATGGCCGTTAGATGGTAGGTTCCCTGCTGCTTTTTTCAAAACATGTATTTTCACTTATTTATTTTGGGTCTTTGGCCAAGGTATAGCGTTGCTGTTAGATTAACCATTGTATAACTCGTGTTATAAGTTCTTTCTCCCTAGAGACATCCCGCAAAATTCTTGTCATGGATGTGTCTGTGATATTACTCTCTTTTTCTTCTTTTTTTCTTTTTTGTAAGTGTTGGTTGTTATTTTTTAAAGTTAAAATTTACGGACTCTTGAACCAATCATTTGATCATTTTATAACATTATTTTCATTTGAATACCTACCATTCGTATAAATGCAGAAACAGGGGAAACGTTTTTAATAGATTAAATAAATTTTAAACAAATTTAAAGCTGGGCATACACCTATATACTTTAGAAGAATTATTTTTCAAAGACAGTTGTTAGCAAAATTTGTGGTAGAATACATGGTATTTATTTTATTCGTAATAATTGTATGCGTAGAATATAATTTTAATCCATCGGTCCTTTTAATTGGTTTTCCTCATTCAAGAATATAGGATATTGCCAACTCGGGGTTCCTTTCATAGGCCGAAGAATTCTGGGTTATTCTCAGAAGAAAAATAATCACTTTATTCATATTAAATTACGGATTAATGTTTTTGTAAATGATAATTTTATTTTTTACGTATATATAAAAATATACAAACCTCATGTAAAGTCCTAAGTCCTGTGAAGAGAAGAGAAAGAAAACTAAAAAAAACTAATACCATTAATTATTATAGTTATCTCAAGTAAACTCTCGTGGTGAAAGCATCGAAAACCATTTCCATCGTTTAGGGCAGGAAAGGAATTGCATTAGTTTGTACAATTCAATGAGGTAAAATTTTTGGTTTAATTGCTAAATGCGTTGAAATTAAATTTTTGTATGATTGATTTATTAGTTTGTGAACTGATTGAGTATTAATTTATTTTAAATTTGATTGTATCAATATTTAGATAAATATATGTTAAAAAAAAATTGAGCTACAAATTCGACCCATTTTATAGTGTCTAAAAGGCTCAAATAATAAAATACTTAATCGATTTATTGAATTTGACCAAATTGTGAACTTAACACGAGCCAAGTCTGATGGGGGAAAAAAAATTCAGTTTCTTATTATTATGGTCTCAATTTTATTATGGCTCCTCTTGTAGTTTTCTGTACCAGGAACAGTTCTTATTTTCTTGTTCCCAATAACTCAGCCAAGAATATATCTAGTGCCAATCTCAGACCAAATCAAATCCAAAATTTAATTGCATGCATCCTCTCTAATTCCTCTCTATTATTTTTGTTATTACCACATCTGAGAACCCTAGAAAGAAGCGAAGGCAAGTCATCAACTAGCATAATTTCAACGCTTAGGCTGCCTCATTTTAGATTTTATGCAGTTAGTTTATGCTTGTAGTGTGAGAGAGAAAGAAACAAAAAAGTGAGTCTTATAATTTAAACTTTGTGGCAAGGATCTACTTTTGGTTATATTAAATGTTTGTCAAAGTGAGTTAAACATGTAAACAGGGACCTGGGTGGATTGATGGCACTCTTCAGGGTGCTGCTTCTAAGGGTTTCCTCCTGGAAGTTGCAATGTGCTATGAAATCTCCCTTAACCGTAACTTCTTTTTTACGCACATCCACTGTGTACTCTGTCAACCCTGCATATTATAGTTTTTGCAACAAGAACATAATTCTTTTACTAAAATTAAACAACCTTAAAACACACTCTCCATTAAACCCTGATTAATAAAAGTGGGTAAGTGTTATCCTTATATGCAGTATTACCCTTGTATATTTGTAAAGAACCTATTTCCGAATTCGAACCCGTGATCTTTGGATCACAAAAGAACTACTTAAGTAAAATTAAAACGAGCTTAATGGGAGAAAAAGACTAGCCTCTGATCTTGATCTGGTCGTGAACTAAAAAAGAAAGCTTTCTATTACTTATCCCTTTATTAAATATGATCTCGTTTGACTTTGCCATAGTGGTTATGTCGAAAATTGCTTTGAAACTGATTCAGATGACAATTTTACATTTCTCTACAAAAAACAAAGCAGAGTTCGGAACCTCACCAGTCATTTTTGAGACAACTCTGGAAACTCTCCCCCTACAACCGTTGCACTCCATATTTGCTGTTATCACTACAACCTGAAACTGATTACCAATCATTACAAAATAAGGCAGTGAGCTTGACATGTCTACAATTATCTAATTAGTGATATTACAACAACTCTTTCGAAGAATTGCAACAATTGTCTTATTGTATGATTTCTGAAAAACTTAGGAATAAAGGGAGAAAGGAGAAAATAAAAGAGAAAAAAAAGAATCTATCTTTGGATTAACAACCATTTGGATTAACAACCATTTAGATACTAGGAATAAATACTAAATGGCAAGAGACAGCTATTGAGAATTTGTTCAAAACTAAGGGAGTGAATATCAGAGAATAGTAAACATACCGAGGGAAGCGTCAAGTTCTCCATGTGAAGAAGAGAACGGTTATCATTTGTTATGGCCTTCAAGCAAACCTGTGTTTTTGTAATGGCCATATGATTATTATCTGCAAGCTCTGCTTCTCTCTTTGTTATGGTTTTCTTGAAGCAGCCTCTTCCGTTTTGTTACCGACCAATTTTTCATAATATCCTATTTTTCAAACTTGCTGTGTTAGGATTTAGAAAAGCTAAGCCTCCTATTCAATTATGTCATGTTTGGATAAACAATTTCCAAATGATCTTGTTTGAATAATTCATCTAAGATGCTTCCATACGCAAAGGCTGTCAAACCCTTTGCCAAGCATCTAACATAACATATTGGCTTCGCAGGTCGCACGTTCTAGCAAACAAATTCAACTAGCAGACTTTTTGGCCAATGACACTCAGTCTCCTAACAAATAAATATGTTTTATGATTTTAAATAGAGATAGATAAATTAAAACTATAGGCTACTAATTGAAAGACTTGTATGGAGAAACTTTAATTTTATTTGCCAATGTGATTCTAAGTCAATAAAATACATTTATTCTTAGACGTCAAAAACAATTTGTATACAGGAAAACACGTTGTAACAGCTAGCCAGCTAAACACTCCATATTTATTACAGAGGCCACCATCAGAGCCTCAGAGGCAAATCTATCCACTAACTCAAGTAATCCATTAAACAAATCAAAGGTGTAAACCTGGAGAATTAGACTGGCAAGTTTACGAAATGTCTAACTTGAACAAGGGGAGAAAGAGTTTACTAAAAAAAAAAGATAAAGAAAAACGCGAAATAGTTTTATTGCCAATTTAAAAAATAAAATTTATTTCTTTTTAAAAGTCAAGCCTCTGATATGAATTCCAATGTACCTTCTCCGCAATATATGAATCACAAGAAAAATTACATCTTGCAAGGGACGACTTAAAAAAGCAATTTAGATATTGACTTCAATTAATTGATACTTCTGTAGCAGTTTGCTCATCCGTTAGTCCTTAAACGTGTACTTCTCAAGCTATTTTATTCATTCCCGTTGTTAATTTCCTTTTTATGAGAGTAATGGGGGAAGTTAATACAACTGTTAACCACAAAAAGAATATAGAGTAATAAAGATAATTTCTTCAGATAAAGGGTAATGACTAAACTTAGCTCAGCATTTAATTCTACCGGTACAACTTAAGAAATTCAAACCAAAAATAGTTACAATTTTTTTTTCTTTAGGTAAAGCAATTTAATTTTGATTATGTTACTGGACAGGAAGGACTTAAAACTAATTACAGGTACAAGCTTGGCGGATCTGTCCATTACTCAAAATCCGTAGTTCACTTGGTCATCTATATTCTTGAAAGGGGAGAGGGGGGCAGATGAGTTGGGAGAAGCTGCTTACGAATTTGCTATAAAATTCTCAAGAATGAAGCCAGCACGATCCCATACTAGGAAGGAAAAATCCACGGAGAACACGATTTGTAACAATATATGGAGAACACATTGTTAAGGAAATCCAGAACACTTCTCTCAATCATCGCCTGTAAAACAATAGAATATGCCATTTCATTAAACAAATTAATGAAAACAGAGAAACAATCCCATTGTTAATTCAAAAATCACCTATAGAATGCGCTTTTTAAGTATCATTCGATTTGGTACTAACATCTTTCATACTTCTAATTAATGCAAATAGGAAACCAGCTTTGAACTGAAGCACACGTGTGCACGCTTAATTGCTCAGTCTATCAATAGTTTCTTTAGTAATGTCCACGAATTTGCTACCCTTTGTCCTCTAAATCAAGCAGAGGAGTGCATATACATCGAAAATAATTTTATACTGTCATTCTGCCAGTAAAACTAGAACATCACAGAACCTAAAACACAAAAAACTACAGCCAATAATAAGATATAAACAACAACCCCCCATTTTCTCACTACGAAATTCAACACTCACCAAAATTTTCCTTTCTTTCTACAATATTCCTGTTACTAGTAAAGTCTGATTATATACTTTAGCAGGAAGGGTAAAAAATATTAAAGTTCCAAATGTATTATGCGTATGAATTTTAAAACTCAAGTCTCATCTTCAGCTATAAAACAGTGCCAATAAAAAGATCTTAGTAAATGACAGCATCAAAATAGTGACCAGTAAGGTAGTAACTGACCAAAACAAATACCATAGCTATTCACTGAAGAATATCCAGCTTATTGTAAATTACTTTCTGAAAGAAGAAAATCAAAATTATGTGGAAGCCTTGTGCACTATGTCAACCTTTTAATACAAGTTTTCTATATTATTTTAATAAAATAGTGTTGTAAAAATAGTGATCAAGTAACCATATCTATACAATGATAGCGTATAAAATATTTAACTTTAATTTTTTAGTGTCCTTTTCACATTCAACCACCTTGCAGTTGAACAAGCAAACGACCTATTCAGCCTCATGTTAGATTTTGAAACTCTGCTGTATAAACAGCAACCAAGTTTGTCATCACTACATCTTTTTTTTTTGTAAATATCACTACATCTTTCAAACACGGCAAAGTGGTAATATAATTACTAGCACCATTGCCCAATAATTCATGCATTTAAAAATTGGTGTCGAGGTTGTGTCAGAGAGAAAACAGTATATTAAAAAATTACTCAAAAAAAACCTACAACAAAATTCCTTCTATTTGATATTTTTAATATTCAGTGGCACCGGTGTATAAACTAAAATTTGATCAATAACATAGCATAGCAAACATTTAAAGTCAACCGGCTTAAAGGAGGTTACTGCATATTGTCATAATTTGAGTACTAGGAACTTGGAAAGGCTACGTGATACAAAAGTTATAATCGAAGAATTTATCTAAAGAAGGCTCAAAGTTGCATGGTATCAATGCAATTGAACTGAAAAAAAAAAAAAAAAACTATACTATAAGTTAGTCCCGAAATTCACAGCTAACAACACGACCTACTAACAATCAAATAAGTTCTAGTCCAGACAACTGCCTAGAAAGAACACAACATATCAAAGAAAAGAGAATCACAACTAATACAACTCAATTCAGCTATAGTCTATAGATAAGAAATAACTCAATGAAAGAAAACCAAACAACTTTGATTAATTATATCAATCTTTCGTTCCAGACACAAGGCTACCGAATCAAAAATTATACATCTTTCATGCCCGTTTGAAATTGTTGATCACAACAAACTTCACAAATTATCAGGAAAGACTTAACAAAAGCAAATCAATCAAAAGAAACTGATAAAAAAAACTCCAAAAGCAAAACATGATTTCACCTGGAGAATCTTCTACTGCCATAAACATCTCCGTGACTTTGCCTCTTCTCGTGTCTCAAGGCTCTCTCTCTGTCCTTCTCACGCCTCTCCCTTTTCAGCCTTTCTTCCCTCAATTCTTCCAATGTCTTCTTCTTTTTCTCACCCTTCTTATCTCCCCCATCACCGCCACTCCTCTCATCATTACCAACATCATCATTACCATTGTCATTCGGTTTCCGAAGATACCAAGGCAACTGAACCCCCTTCCCAGCAACACCATAACCTAACCTATATTTCTCATCCTCCGGAGCCACAACAACGCTGGTGGAACTTCCATCCTCTTTCTTCATCTTCTTCCTCTTCGGACCATCTATTTCTGCCACACCGTCTTTCCTAGGTACTCGAATCGGGTCAAAAATCTTGATTCCTTCGAAAAGGTTGATGTGACCAGACTTAGGTTCCGTTTCCGGTTCCGGTTCATGAGGCTTCGTTGCCTCCGTCTCCGTCTCCGCCTGCTGAGGAATCAACGGAGCCAAACCTCGAGCGACACGAAGACGCTCGAGACGAAACTCGGTATCGCGTTTTCGCGCCTGTTCGCGCTTTAATTGCTCTTCTCTGGCTGCCTCCTCCTCGTCGCGACGGACTTTCTCTCTGTTGTCGAAATTGTAAACGTTCCAACGTTTCTGAGGGAGAATATTCAAACCACCATGCCCTCCCATTCTCAATTGCTTAACAATTCACCGTCACCGGTATAAGCAATTGAAAACTCAAAAGCACTGAGAAGATTACCGTAACCTCTAGGACGATACTCTCGATATGTTTCGATTCCGCAGTTACCGAATTGAAAATTTCCACGAATTCGCGATATTCTGTTGTATTTAAGTGAATACTCTTCAAACCCTAGCACGACGGATACCAAGACGGTGACCTAAACCAAAGGCAATGAGAACGCGCACCACGATAAAACGCATCGTCGTACTTTAATAAATTATTTTTTATCAAATTATTTTGCCGGAGAACTGTATGAGTCTTTTTTAGTGCGCCTAAGCCTGATCCTCTCTTATTTTATTTTTTTAAGCTAAAATTTACTTATAAATAAAAGTTAGGTCAAATAGATTTTGCGAAAAGCTCTTATAATGAATTTTTTTTTTATGTAATGAAAAAAAAAAATTTAAGGCAAAAGCTCCTAGAAGAAGCTTTTTTTAAACTCTTATATATTTTTCTTGAATTGTGTGTTTTTAAGTAACTTTTAAGCTAAAAATTGTATATAATCACCACACAACTTTTAACTTTCTTTTTTATGCTTTTTTTAGCTTTAGCTTATAAGTAGCTTCTAGCTTAAAAAAGAGAGGTCCAAACATGCTCTTATTCTTTTGTTTCAAGCCAAGCAACTAGGGGTCAAAGTGGGCTGGGCTGGGCCAGGCTGAGCTTTGTCTCAAAAAGCCCAAATGTATGTCAAGAGATTTTAATTTGACCTGATCCGAGAGTGTAGTATGAGTTTAACTGTTAGTCTAACCTAACCCATTTATATAATAAAGAAATGGTCTGACCTATCTCATTAGTCTATTAATTTTTTATTTTTATTTTTAGTACATTGTTAATTTTTAACTTTCAAGCAGAACATGAATCAACTTCACAAAGTACTCAGATTTTGTTGCTAAAATAAAAATCACAATTTCAACGCTCAAACAAAACTATAATCACAACAATAACCTATTACAATCTGTATTTAAGTCACTTTCAGAAGCAAAATGATCAAACTAAATAACATATATTTCATCAGATTCAACAAATTAATTCATAATATGTAAATCAAAATAACTGCATGAATCCAACAAATGCATCATGATGCTTGCAGTAGCTAAAAACTTCTCATCATCTTCTCTCCATGTAAATACAATTCCAATGTTAGATAAGTTGGCAAACAATTTGTAAATGTAGAACACAATAAACAAGATTAAAGAATAGAAAAAATATATTAAAAAATACCTTTTATATCATTTATTTTTTCTTCAAATCATACTTATTATGTTACCAATCTCCTCCATATATTAAAGTTTGGGTGATATTGTAAGAACCCGCACCGTTAATTAAGGAAGTTAATTAATTAATTATGAGAAATTAAGAAATAATTCTATAATTGACCTTAATAATTATTATGAGGCTTAGATAATTATAGTAAGAGATTAATAATGCTGAAAGTCACTTTTCTGACGAAAAGTGCAGATACCGGTTCTGCTACTCGATATAAATGCGTACCGATGAAGTATCCCGGAAAATTATAATAAGTATGGGAATATTACTAGAATAATATATAGGACATGTAAAATAAGTTTCAAGTCAAAATAATGAGAACGGGTGCCAGAACTGATACTGGCTATGGAAAAGCGCGTACCGGAAATGTGCTGCAAAAAATAAAATAAAAATATGATAAATATTAAAAAAATGAGTAGGTTCAGAATCCTAAGTTTGGAATTAAAATGCTAAGCGTAACAATTAGCGCTAATACAGTACGATTAAAACTTAAGTGGACTAAGAGACAAAAGAGTCCACTTAAGTTTTTTGGGCTTAATACAGTGTTTTTTGGGCTTAGGCCCTTTATTGTACCAAAAAAAAAACTTAAGTGGACTATAAATACAACTTATGCACAGAACCCTAGGCCATAATCTGAGTTCTACGTGGGTTTTGGAGCTGTGGTCAGCCTCCCTTCTGTTCTTGATCTCCTCCCTTTGATAAACCACCAAGTTGCCACCTTTCCTTGATTTTCTCTAGCTAATCCTTGGAAACACTTAGTGGAGTGTGTGGTGAGTGTGGAAGTCAGTTTTCTAGGTTGTTTCATCTCTGTTTTGTTGAGCTGTGGGGTTGAGTTCATAAGCTTTGTTGAGGGAGCCTTGTCATGACTTCGTGATGCTCTTAGAAGCCTTGTTGGTGTGAAAGAACCAAGCTTTATTGGTCCATTTTCGTTCACCTTGAAGTCAGTACCCTAGGAGCTGAAGTGTGAGCTCCAAGAGCATTCTTTTATCTGTTTTGAGCTGTTGGTAAGCTTCATCTACCTTGACCATGTGTTTCCATGGTTAAAAATGGAACTTTGATGCATGTAATGAACTAAAGTTAACAACTTGAGGTTGGGTAAGCTTAAACACACCTAGAAATGCATGTTTAGGCTTCTGTAATCGGTAAAAGTTGGACCTTTGGATTAATATCTCGCGAAATGCAGAATCTGAGTTCTCCCGCGAAATATCCGGTTATTGGGTTAGAAATATCCGGATATTGATATCCAAATATGGATATCCGGATATTGATATCCGGATATGGGGTTCTGAATATCCGGATATTGACAGTCAGATATCCGGATATGCCCCCGACAAATATCCGGATATTTTGGGTTTTTGAAGGACAGTAGCTGTACTGTTCATACAGAATGATATTTATGGGTTTGTGGACCCATGATGAGTTATGTTGAACCTCTGTAATAACTAGTTAAGTTAGAATCAAGGGATTAAGGGCTTGTGGCTTTGTGAGAAGCCTTAAGACATAGAACACAAAGGAAAAACGTTATCTTTATGTATATGCTTGTGAGCTATAGTTATTGATATGATTGCTGGTCCAAAACAGATTGTGATTCTGCTGTATGTGGACCTTGAGCTTGTGTGGACTCTTGGCTTGGATTGTTAGCTTGCAAGGTAAGTATTCGTGTCCTCGGTTTAGCCATTTTTGGTTCCACCATGTCCCATGGGGGTATGGTTATATGCATGATGTTGTTTACATGATATATTGATTTGTTGAAATGCTGTTGAGCTGTTATATGCGAGTGCCTTTATGATATGCATGTGGTGTTCCACCTATACGGTAAGCCTGAGTATGTGGTACATACAAGAGGGTGAGGCCGTGGGTGAGGTGCAAACGATGTTCCTTGTACTAAGTGTAGGTAATAGACGTATTCCTGCATTTCTCTGGCCAGTAAAATAGTTAAAACACACATGGCATGAATATCTGTTGCACTGCATAGTTTTGGAACTTATACTGTCAAATGCTTTTGAACTTATATTGCTCGTGTAAGTGAGCTTGGGGTGGAAGATCCTTGAGAACCCCTTGTCTTACTGAGATTTTTTTTAGAGATCTCACCCCACGTTTGCGGCACATATTTCTGGTTCAGGTAATGCGGGGGTTGAGACCTCCAGTAGCAGGAGGCTAGAGCTTAGCTGATTATATGTTGTTACGCTGCTTATGTTGGATGCTGGATATTGACTGTTGCCTTTTATGCTTTTAGCTTCATGATGTTATTTTTGAGAGTGTTGTGGGGCTTGTGCTTTATTTGGTGAGCATGGGGATTGTCCATGCCACTTTGACTTGATTTTATGCTTAGTTGTTTCTAGTTGTAATTAATAATGTATCAGGATATTGTCCGGACTACATGTTGTAGATCTGTGACTTAGATACTCACATCTATGTTATGAGGTATTTCAGTTAGCTGTCTTTTGCAATTTACATACATGCGATGTTTTATGAAATGAATTAAGTAATTCAACTTTGCTAATGATAATGACGTCATAATTGAACAGAAAAAGATATTCCGTAATTTTAAATTAAGAATGGCTTAATACGATGATATGATAACAAACCGGATATATACGGGGTGTTACAGGTATCTTCAATCAAGCTAGAACGATAAGTATCAATAACTTTTCCTCCAACACTAAATAACACTAAATGTGGATTCTGATGCTACTATAGATATTGGTACAGATCTTATGTCACTCCCAAAGGTAGTATTGGTAGGGAATTGAACATAAGTCATTCCACCACCTACTTAGCTCAAATCACCATCTGAACTATCACAATTTGATTATATGTAATAGGTCGAGTCTGGCCTGATTTAGGCAAGGCCATAGGCCCCTACAGGCCGGCCTGACCCACTTACATCCCTATTAGCAACCAATGTTATTAAATCCGGCCTGATTATTGCTCCGATCGAGGTTTTGGGTCACTGGTTTAACTGCATGACCCGGTAAGTATATATAAACCTATAATTTATATTAAAAAAACTATAAATATATTCAAATACCAATAAAAAAATGATACCATTTCCAAATATGTTACTATGAAAAACAATAAATTATACATCATTGTCCAACAATAAATTACACATCATTGTCTAACTATAAATCTAATCAAAATTTGCTGCATATTGCATAACCAAGATAATAATTAGTGTTGTAGGTACATAACCTATCTAACTATATAAGCAACATATCACTCATATATTTCAAAAGAAAACAAACCATTTGTGTGAGAGTGAAAAAATAAAGGCATCAATCGATGAGAACAAACTAAATTTTTTTTTTGATCCTGACCGGGTTGCACTTAGTTCCATTATATGGCCGGTCCAATATGAAAACCGAATCGGTTATATGACCGATTCACTAATTTTTGGGTCGACACAACCGGGTCGGTCTAATTGTTATAACATTTCTTGCAACACTTATAATTTTGATTAAAAAAATAGATTATTATTGGTCATGTGTACATTTTACTTATAATGATACCTAATGTTATATTATTATGTTTAATTTATTTCTTGGTCCAAACATTAACATATTACTCAAACATGCAAAATGCTTGGAATTAAATGTCTTGCCCTCAACAGTTTTCAAAATTTGCTATTTTCATTTTCATGTAAATGCATTTTAAAAGAAATTATTGTTATTTAATCAAACAATGAATTAAGAAAGCCTCTTAATCGCAATAGTATCCCAGATGTTAGTCTCAAAGCCTATTCAAACTCAAGAAAATGTTAAATTCATGAGAATTGATAATTTTAATTTTATGGATTTTGTTTTATATATATATATATATATGTAATACTCCTAATTTTTTTAAATCAATAATGCTTCTATGATATGGGTGTTTAATC